TTGGTTTTTTCTTTTTCTTTTTTTACAAATTAAAAATTGAAGTTTAGTGTTATCAATTTATTATTGTATATTATCAAGAATTGTATAATCCTACACCATCAAGAATTGTAGAATCGAAGAACTGGTGTTCGATGGGTTTTCCGACGGTCAAGGGAGTTGGGCTTGGAAGGAGGTCTCGAGGGTGTAGATCCTATACCATCACTAGCTAGATTAACTGTTCGAATTTTTGAATACAATCATCTGTGAATTTTACGTAATTCCTGTTCGTATACGTTGAAAACCTGAAAAAAAAAATATTCCTAAGGTGTTAGATTTCCGAGTATGTGTTTAGATTCCCATATATGTGTGAAGATGTAGAGTAAAGTTTTGTCACTACAAGTTCGTTTGAAATAAGTTGATGATTAGCAATTGAGTTGAATTCAAACGAGCTTCAAATACGAATCAAGTTCAACTAACGATATTTCATATAAATATTTGTGTGTGACAAAACAAATTTAAAGAAAACATTTTTTGGTAGTAGTTATAAGTAAGTTCATTACTACATTATTTCCATAAGCGGGTGTAGCTCATATGGTAGAGCGCTCGCTTCGCATGCGAGAGGCACGGGGTTCGATTCCCCGCACCTCCACAACTTTAAACTCTTACATTTAAAAATTTAAATTTCACGGTTCCTAAATTTGATATAATTAGTTAAGATTAATTGATTAACAATAACATTTAATAAATGTAAAATATTATTTTAAAGTCAATTATAATAAGTATAATTGTATATACTTTTTTATCAAATACTCCACGGGGCACGTCAACTTCTCGAAAAGGGATAAAATACGGAGATATAGCGCGTGCAATGAATTGCTACGAGAGGGCTGTTGATAAAATTCGAAGGTGGTGATGATGAGGCGCCCCGATGTTTCCTATCAGTTTTTTATTTATTTTGGTTTAAAACGATTCGAATTCCAAAAATGCAGATTTTGAAACAATATTTCAAATTTTTAGACTATCAATATTTCAAATTTTTAGATTAAATTTTGATTTTTTTAGAATTTACGTGATTTCGATTTTATGTTAAATTTAAATTCAAAAAATTAAATAAATAAAAAAGGTTATGTTTTAACAACACGCAATGCGTTTTGTTAAAAGTCCATTTTCCATGTTGTGTTGAAAATCGAACGCACGTGAGAGCCACATGTCATTTTCCATACAACTTAACTTAAAATTAAACAGGGGGCCAATTCTGATATTGTAACTCCAAAATATTTAGGGAGGAGTATGAATTTTATTTAAAAAATATAATATTTGCACTATATTTTTCCTATTTTTAGTTTATTTTTTTAATCAGAAAAATGGTATTAATATTAAATAAAATTAAAGGTAAAAGAGTCACAATTGGGGCAGTATTTGCTCTATAATTTATTAGGGATAACCCCCTTATTCATATTTTCTAATGAGGTAGATCCAATTAATTTTTTCCTTTTTGAGATACACCCAAATTTGCCAACTTGGCAAAATATATTATATAATTTCCCTTTAATACCCCTTTTTTATTTGGTTTTATTTTTGAACGGTATTTACTTCCTTAACTACGTGATATGAGATTGCTGATACGTTGCCTAAAATCACGGAATAAAATTACGTGAGTATATTGGCGGTTTCTATCAAATCTTGTACAACCGGTTTTGAAGAATTTATCCAGCGTTTCATCGTTTTCCATCGGATTTGAAGATAGGTTCGGATTTGAGCGTTCATCGTTTTTCATCGTTTTCCATCGTTTTTCATCGTTTTCAATCGGGTTCGGATTTGAACCTGTTTTGAAGAATTTATTCAGCGTTTCATCGTTTTTCATCGTTTTCCTTCGTGTTTTCACCGGCGTGGAAATAGGTTTGGATTTGAGGGTTCATCGTTGTCCGTCGTTAAGCGGGTATGAATGTGTTTTTAGTTTTTTTTCGGTTTTTTTTTCATTTTTATTTTTCGCTGTATTTTTTCATTTTTATTTCACTGTTTTTTCGCTGTATTCGTTTTTAAGATTTGTGTTGATACGTTGATTATATTGGTAGTAAAGTAGATCGTTTCTTAAAAAAATTACGTCGTCACATATACATCCTTATTTTGGCTGATGATGTTTGTTCGGAAGAGGATTCACAGAGTTGGCAGAGGATGGTTCACGCAGTCGGACCAGAGTTGTTTTATATGAGTGTCGTAGTTGGTTTACGCAATAATCGAGTGATAGTTGGTTTATTTGTTTATAACAGTTGATTTTAGTGTGCTCGGTAGTACATTGAAATACACTTTCGTAGTCTTTTTCAACTGATTGTATGGATTATGCATTTTCAAGTTTATTTTTGATGATGTTAATTTATTGTCATTCAAATGTATTTGCAGTCTATTTAATCATTTTTAGTATTCATCATTTTTAAGTTCGTTTCATGATTTTAGGTTCATATGATGCTGAAGTTGTTATTTCTGATGATGATGGAACATGGGTGTGGGGGTGAACTAGTTGGAGCCGTTGATGCCACTGGAAGTGAGGCATTGAATGCAGGCTTTGTGCAGTTGTTCGAAGAAGAAGTCGACTGCATTCCTGATGATAGCGACGAGGACATAAACTAAATGAATTCAAATGATTCCGATGGTTGTTATTTTCCAAACCACCCTAAGATTTGATATGTTTAATTAATGTCGTGTTTACGATGTAATGGCTCGGTAACTTCGATTAAGTGTTAATCCGTTGTAATACAGTAGTATACTATTATGAATACCGTATGATACTACCATTATCATTTTATTATACTATTATGAGATTATTAATGTACTAGAGTTTTTTAACTCGACATATTGGTTTGATTGTGTTATGATGTGTTTTAAGTATTTTCTCAAAACCCTAGATTAAAATTATGAGATTATTAATGTACTATTTTATCGGTTATGTTGGAATTACTTTACGTTGGTTTTGTTCTCAATATTCTTGTCATTTCAGTGGTATATTGTTTGTAACACAATTTCATATCACTACTATAACCGTAATATACTATCATAGCAGATTAATGTACTATATAATTATTAATATACTATGTGGTTGAATAATACGGGATCCATAGTCGATTAACGAGATCCATAGTCGAATTAGATCAATGAGATAGTCTATTACATGATATGGGGTAGTCTAACAATATTAAAACACAAATCCGCCGCCATTACTTATCAGATCTAGGATTTTGTTGATTCTTCGGCCCAATAGTCAAATAACTAAACCCATAGCCGAATTAGATATATGGTATAGTCTATTAAATGATATGAGATAGTCTATTAATTTTAAAACACAAATCCGCCGCCGTCACTTCTCAAATCTAGGGTTTTGATAATTCTTCGGCCCATAGTCGATTAACGAGATCCATAGTCAAATTATATTAGTGGGATAGTCTATTAAATGATATATGATAGTCTATTAATACAGATGTAATTCGACTGTGCATCTCGTTAATCAACTATGGGCCGAAGAATTATCAAAACCCTAGATTTGAGTAATCCTAGATTTGAGTAACCCTAGATTGGAGCAGTGACGGCGGCGGCAGCGGCGGCCAACGACGATATCACTCCTAAATTGATTGTTACGACCCTGGAGGCGGGAGCGGCGGAGATCTTGGTCGTTTTTGGCGGTCTTGGTGGTGGAGGTGGTCGGATGTGGTGGTGGTGGAGGACTAGGCGGTGGTGGAGGTGTTGCTTATGGCCAATATCGTTGTTATCGTTGTTGGCCACCGGCGACAACGGTGACGGAGGTGGCGGCGGTTGATTTAGCCAAAACATATCAACATATCGATTGATGATAGCGATTCAACGAGTGGCGACGACGTACCTACGGCGGCTTGGTCGGAGTGCAGGAAATCGTCGATCCACGCCGTATAAATTTCTGGTTTTGGAAGGTTTGCAGATTTTTAGTAGTGAGTATGTGGGGATAGTGTTTTAACGGGAAAATAGGGAGGGATTTGATATTATTTCAAAAGGTAAAGTAACGGGATTTGTGGGATTTGATTGAGGGTACTTATATAATTTAAAAAAGTTTGGATTTTTATCAAAATGGCAAATTTAAATTTGCGTCTACCCCTATTATTTGAATGTCTAAGGGGATTATATCTAATAGACCATATAATCTATATGTTCATCAAATGGAACTCCTAAAGTGAACTCCAAATCTAACTCAAATAGGAGTAACAAACACACATAAATATTATATTTGATTTAGATTGCGAATAACTTTTTTCTAATTAGTGTTGATTTGTTTTGATTTCCTTATATGCATTAGTCAAATTTTGAGGTCGAATTACACTTTTGGCCCCTCAACTTTACGTAAAATTACACTTTTAGCCCCTCATGTTCCAAGATGAACAAATTTCATCCCGTATTTTACCAATTTGTAACATTTTTGGTCCACCCGTCATTTGACCATTTACAATAATATTTTATATGTATTAAATGTTATTTTCAATCTTAGTTAAAAATTTGACGTACCACCTTGCAAAGTTGGTAATTTTTTCGAATTTCGTCGTTTCACTTCAAATAAGTTGAAGGGGTAAGATGGAAATTAGTATACTTCAATAGATTTGTAGCAAGGAAGAAAGAAAAAAAGTGTGTTCTTATCCTTATTCATTTGTCACCAACTAGGGATTATTTATTAATTAGCTAATTTTCTCTTATTATTCAAAGGTTGCAATTATCCCAAAACGGCGTCGTGTCTTCAAAAAAGAATCAATAAAACACGAAATCTATCTAGAGAGTAGAAAAAGGTCAAAATCAACATTTAACAATTGGATCTTCCTTAGGATAACGACACTCCAACTCCGAACCGCCTTCCCTCTCTCTCTCTCTCTCTCTCTCTCTCTCTCTCTCGCTCGTTCTAGAGAGAGAAACCGGATAACAGAGATTCAGATCTCCTCTTCCTTCCGTCTGCTGCAATATCGTAGCGTTTTTTCAAGGTGACTCTCTCTCTCTCTCTCTCTCTCTCTCTCTCTCTCTCTCTCTCTCTCTCTCTCTCTCTCTCTAAGCGTAATGTATGCAATGGTTTCGATAATTCTCCCAAATTCAGATAATACGCAGTTTCTAATCTGTCAAAATGTCGATTTTTTCGAGCTTTTGTCGATCGGAACTTACAAATTGCGAACGATTTCAGTACACATTTGCCCTAATTAGTGAGTTTTTAGGAGTAGTTTTCCGAAAACAAAATTTGGGATCACAGGGAGATTTTTGCTAAGGAAAAATGTGAGTAGAGTCCTTTTAACAATTAGAGTAAACTTAGGGGTGCTGAATGCAATAAACCCTATACATTTTGGCTTTTTTGTTATAGCAATTTCTTTTGAAAGATTTGGGCTTTTGAGTTTTGTGGTTTGGTTCAACTTACTTTTGGTTCACTTGATATGTAATCAGTAAGTAACAATAATCATTGTTTGGATTCTGCTATATAATGCTGGTATAAGGTATTGTTTGTTTCTGTATTAATAGGCAAAGTTCCAAACTTCCACAATGACTAAAGTTGTTCTATCTGTTTACGAGTTTTGCAGATTCGAGGAGAAATAAATAAGAAATTATGTCGCCGGGAAAGGAAATCGTCGATCTTTCAGGACCTGCTGTATCAGAAAGAGAACATTTCGACCTTTCGGGACCTTTGCATTTGACAACAGTTGATTGGTGAGAACTCACAAACACACTCTGTCGATGTATAAATTAGTTTGTATTCGGTTAACTGATGTTGATCAATAGTAGAGTTTTGTTCTCCTACAAATACGTTTCTCCTCTTGATATTTAAAGAGGTAAATGAAAATTTCCGTTTATTACGATTAACGAATCTCGTCCTTTTTGGTGCCTTTAAATGCAGTACGAACAAAATATTCTCTTAACGTTGTATGTAATTGGTTTAAGAAGCTTAGTTTACCACCAGATGAAATTCCGTTTTGGAATATTATTGGCATCGTTCGTTTTACCTTGCTACAGCTTTGCTGTTACATGTTCATTCTAAGTTTATCCGATAGAGGATCTAACTTTTCTTGTATCGAATTGTTTGACCATTTGACCAAAGAATGGCTCAACTGAATTTGGATTTCTGCTACCTTTTTCTCAAGTGAATAGCTATGATTCTTAAATACCTGTCTTTTTTTTTCAGGACAAATCCGAGTCACCGAAGGTCAGTTGCAGCTAGTTTGGTTCAGAGCGTATATATATTGGAAAGAGACCGCCAAGAAAAGCGAAACGGCCCCCACGCTCTCGCCCCTCCTTGGTGGGAGTTTTTCCATTTTAAGCTATACAAGCACCTCATCGACGAAGCTGATTCTTGCATATTCGGTGCCATATTCCAGCTCACCACTCCCACAACCCACAATTCCCCACGCTTTGTCATTGCCTTTCGAGGTACGATAACCAAAGGCGACGCGTTCACACGCGACCTCGAGCTCGACGTCCACATCATCCGAAACGGGCTCCACCAAACATCCCGTTTCGAGACAGCTATACAGGCCGTTCGCTACGTCATCGCCACGTTCGGAAGCTCGAACGTATGGCTGACAGGTCATTCTCTAGGTGCATCTATGGCATTGCAGGCAGGGAAAAGCACCGCAAAAACGGGTATTTTCCTCGAGGCCTTTTTATTCAATCCTCCATTTTTGTCTGCACCGATTGAGAGGATAATCAAGGACACGAAAGTGAAGCACGGGCTTCGATTCGCTGGGAGTGTTATTACAGCTGGGCTGGCTCTTGCAATGAAAAACAAGAACCGTGGTTCGGGGGTAAATACGACATTTGACGTGCTGTCAGAGTGGCTGCCATGTCTGTTTGTGAATCCGAGTGATCATATATGCTCGGAGTATGTGGGGTACTTCGAGCATAGGAAAAGGATGGAGGAGATTGGGGCGGGGCAGATTGAACGGCTGGCGACGAGGCACTCGATCGGAGGGCTGCTGTTGAATGCGGTTGGTGGGGTGGAGTTGGAGGAGCCGCTGCATCTGATCCCGTCTGCGAATTTGACGGTGAATTTAACTCCGGCGACTGATTTTAAGGATGCTCATGGTATACATCAGTGGTGGAGGCCTGATCTGCACTTGCAATCTAACTCTTACAAGTTATAGATGATAAATTCATTTCCTTGGTCAAGATTCTTGAATTTATTTATTTATTTATTAATTATTATTATTTTTATTTTTTACATTTTTTTTACTTTTTTTAGTGGGAGTATATAATGTACTGAAAAAAAAAATAACTTTGCGAATTTCGAGGGGACGAATTTATTAATGTTGAAAAGTGGGGCCCACCACCCCTGGGCTCTGCCGCAGCATCAAAACGTGGGCCCACTTGCAATGCTGCAATTCCCGCTTGAAGGAGGGGTATTTTGGTCATAATAATTAAATAGATGAAAACAAGTGAATTAAATTAAATAACTAGAAATTACTCCCTCCGTCCCAATTTAAATGACGTTTTGGGTTGTTTCACACATATTAAGAAAATCAATAAATGTGTATAGATTATAGTAAAAAGCATAGGAAAATACTAATATATCCTTGTCATTAATTGTTTTACAACTAACTAATTAGGAGTTAGAAAGGGTAAAATTGAAAATAGTGCAATTAATGATGCATTGAAAATCTAAAATGACAAATAATTTGGGACAAGAAAAACTCTCTGAAAAGACATATAATATGGGACAGAGGGAGTAGTAACTAACAGTGGAAGCCTAATACAGATCCATCACTAACAGAAATAGAAACCCGACAATCGGCCCGGGCCTCCACGTGGTGGGTAAAGAAATGGAGGACCCGAACCCGGCCCGCCATCTCAAGCCTCGATTCAACCTCCATGCTCGGCCCGATTCGGAACCCAGCGAGCCCGTCGGGCTGAGCGGGGGGAAGTGATGATGATGAAAGGGGGAATGAGCGGACGGAGAAAGTGGCGGCCATGTACTGAGTCTTGCCGGCGGAGATCTTGGCGGCGGGGATGAACATGAAGCCGACTTGGACGCCGGCGTAGAGGAGCTGGAGGGAGCTGTCGTAGTGGGTGAAGACGGCGCGGTTGGGGTTGTTGACGGTGACGTACTGGGAGAAGGTGAAGGTGACGGTGGAGTTGGCGACGGAGAAGGACGGGAGCTGGACGGCGTTGACGGCGAGGTTGGGGTCTTTGGGCTTGAAGACGGCGAAGTAGACTATGCAGGCCACCATTATTATGAAGATCAAGAATACGGCGGCGACGACGCATGAGGCTAGGTTTGTCCGGCCGGTGGGTGCTGGATGAGATTTGCCCATTTCTTGATCTTGCCTGAAACTTAGATTTAGTGTGTGTTTTGTGTCTGTGTGTGTGTGTGTTTTGTGTCTGTGTGTGTGTGTGTGAGAGAGAGAGAGAGAGAGAGTGAAGAAAGAGAGTGATGGTGGAGAGTGGAGAGTGAGATAAGAGTTAAAAAGAGATTTAATTTGTTTTGTTATGGGAGTGTGAAAGAGGAGACTTTTGTTTTAATTTGTTTTTTTCTGTGTTCTAATAAGATGTCCGACAGGTGTCCTCGAGTGCCGGAGACGAAACGTGTGGGAAATACAAGAAGTCGGGAACGTTAATAAATTAAAGTTTATGTGCTACATAAGTAAAAATTATCAGATATACAATAAACAAATACAGGATAAATACTCAAAAATGAATTTTTACTAAAAATAATATTCTTTATTTTTCCAATATAAATTGGCCACAAAATAAGGAAAAGGGAGTGGGGGCAATAGCCTTGATACTTGACAAATTATTCAGTCTAAAGGTAAAGGAAGACCATTCCATTACATGAATGTGTTTTCTACTTTTGTTGTATGTGTGGTCACTCCTCTAAAAAAATGGACCTATCAGATTATAATTAGTAAATATTCAAAAAATTTAAATGAAAAACTTTTTCAAGATTGGAATTGACGAAATTTGGAAATTTTATTTTTTTCGTTAACCCATGATATAAAAATACAAATTAATATTAATTTTTCAAGTGTATTTTTCCGAAAAGAATCGGAAGTTTTGGAAATATTTTCAAAAGCATAAAATCGCATGGGAAAATCGACCCTATATGCGTATTCCAATTCCGTTAAAAAAAATCGAAAAACAAAAAGATCAAAACTTTCAGAATTCATTATGGAAAAATATTGCTTCGAAAATCAGAAATTTTGTTCAAATTCTTAATACCGGATAACAACATATCACCGTCTACACTCAGTCAAACACAGTCAAACACATACACGCATAAATATGTGTAAAACGTGTATGGAATCAATATACACACATATGATTCAATATTATCCCATCGGATGTAGCATATAAATAACCCTTCATATATATTATATATTGTTTCAACCACATTTTAGATGGAGGGTTTGATATATATATATATATATATATATATATATATATATATATATATATATATATATATATCATCTGCAAACACATCCTTCAAAAATGTGTGTTCAACATTACAAAGTAGTTCAACAGATCATTTCATATAACTTAGGAAAAAATTAGAGCTTTTTTAAGGGCCCAAAGAGTACAAACAAAACAAAAGTAATTGCCTCTTTGTTTATGGCACCACATTTTATGTATATACACACACCCAACCTATACATACACACACAACACACAAACACACACACACACACACACATACACACACACTCAGGACAACCCACACAGATTTTACCATCACTTCATCAATTTATCAAGAGTTTCATCCATAATTTCAGACACAGTTTCGAGAAATGCGGCTTCAGTCATACCCGAAATCACGGAATATTCCTTTGCTTCGTCGACAATCTCTTCTATAACCGATTTCTTGTTCAGGGTTTCTCTGCACATAATACTTCCTATCACAAAAGGAGTAAATCCCCTTTCTGCCCCTTTCTTCAGAAGCATTGTAGATATGCGTAGCGTAAGCGCACACTCGTGTGAGATATTCAATCCGTGGAAATCAAGAATCGCTAAATCTTGCTCAGCGTCAAGTGATTTTATATAGTCTTTCGTCTCTTGCGAAAACGGCTCGCGGGTTTGTGGCCAGTATAGCCACTCAAACGTACAATCTTCAAACTGCAAAAAGATTTAAAAATCACGAGTTTTAAATGAGAATAACCAAAAAATAAATAAATAAATAATAATAACAATAATAATAATTTTACATTTTCAGGCAAGCAATAGCCGTGATCGATTGGAATTAGGACAATGTTGTTTCCGTTTTTTTCACCGTCTTTTTTGCGGAGAAGAATATTCCCAGCATGTCTATCTGCATTGGCTGTTCTTATATCGAAGACACTAATCTTATGAACCTCCTCAACGGGAAAAACACCGGGTCCCACATCTTCGCAGCTTCCATTATTCTTCATATACATCTGCATTGATCCCGTCTTAATATTCTCGTTCGAACGATCGAAACCTTCCGGATGGTGGAATCCTCCGTGCAGACACCTCACCATAATGGTCGGTGGTACACCGGCAAAACCGATTTGGGAGTCTGATTTCGAGCGCGGGCCCGTTTTGGGATGGTCCAATAAATAAGCTGCAACTTCTCTCAGTGCACCCTCGCCCACTCGAGTACCTCTCTTCAGTCCTTCGCCGCTAGTGGATAAGGGCAAGCCTTGAGGATTATTCACAGCGAGTGGCTCCTCATCTACTGGCTTAAAAACCGAGACGTACTTTTCACCGGTTGAATCTTGCATGAAGTAGGTCCCACCCGTGCCTTCGGACGATCTGATCGGCTGCTTTCCATTTGCTAACCCTTCAAAAACAGAATCTATCATGTCCCACAAAAAGGGAGGCAAATTCACATTCGGATTCACTATAATCGGTTTCAAGAAAAAGTCTTCAACAAGTGGGGCCCTCGATAAAACCGAGATATCAGTGCACCGATCCGAATGCGGGGCCACAATTGAAAGTTCAACGTCTTTTTCAACGGGCTTCGTCCAAACTTTAGCAGATTTCTGCACGACCAAGTGAATTACCGCGTCGTTATCTTTGCTAATATCGTTAATTAGTCTCTGATCTTCTTCGAGCTTTTCACCATGGCAGAAGATTACGGGCTCTTCTAAATCGATAAAGCCTTTGCCTTTGCCTTTCTTGATAATTCTACGCTTTAGATACCCTACGTTTCTGTGCCTATCAACTTGAAGCTCGAATTGTTTCCCACAAACGGTACTCACATTGATCAAAAGCACGTCGGAGATTCTCAGAGCTAAATGCAGGACATTCCCATTCGTAATGCCGTAGTCTTTGACTAGTGAATCGGTTCTTGACAGCTCTTTCCCACCGAAAACTAACTTCTGTTTCTTCACTACAAAACCCTTACAAGATTGTATTCTGAGCTTAACCGATGCAATGGAATCGGATTCCATTACACGCATTGGGATTGAAGAACCCCCCACGGTGATGTAGATTACGATCGATTCCAATCGACGGTTGAGATGAACAGACGACGAATCCCTGTTCGTCTCTTTGTGGATTGGACTCAGAGCAACATCAACAGCAGGCATTGTAACAAATTAAAATCTATATAAAATATTTATTACCGACCCTCTCGAATGTCGATTATCCAGGATAATTTTTGTTTCCCCCTTTCTTGTTTTGTAAATTTCACAACATTCTATAAGTAATTCGACAAACCCTATAATAACAAACCCTAATTCGACAACCTATGTGTGAAAATTACAATAAACCAAACAATAATTGGCGAAAAAAAGAAAGGAAGAAAACAGGAAAAAATTCCCCCAGAAGAAAGTGTGTCGAAATTATCAGCAACGAAACCTCCGAGGGAGAGGCTTGATTGAAAATTAACAATTAATAAAAATTCCGAAAAAAAAATGAAATCAAGACCCTCCCCCTCTGCAACTATAATTTAATTAATCAATTGTAAGTGGATTCTTACTTACCCCCAAACAAGAAAAAAAAAAAAAAAAAAAAAAGGGGGGGAAAATCAGAATCGGAATCAAAATCAAAATGGGTGCCCGACACTGACCTTAAATCTGCAAAAATGAAGACAATCATCATCGGTGGCAAAAAATTGCCGACTAATTTGAACGGCAATTTTTTGCCTCATTTTTGCCCGGATGTAAAATGAGTAATTTTGGAGAAGATGATTTTGAATTTATTGGATCGGAGGAGAGAGCGATTTACACGCAGGTTTTTTTTTTTTTTTTTTTTTTTTTTTTTTGAAGTTTTTCTTGTGAAGGAGAAATGGAGCGGATTTATAGCCGTTATCTTTGCTTTGGGCTTTTGACTCCATGACTTCAATTTTTGTACACTGTTTTCAACGGTCGTCAATAGAGTTGAAATCCATAATTTCACGTTATACCCTCGAAATATAGCATTTTGTTATATTACACCCCCAGAAAAAAATAGTAGTATTTTGCGCCGTCGAAATGCAATAAACCATGATTTGTTCGACCCTACACCCGGTGAAAAACATCGGGTGGGTCTTCTGCTGCCACGTGTCTCTTTTTTTGTATTTTATAATAGATTCCCCGCTAGGGTTTACTTTTAGGGGTTTTAGAAAAATAAAAAAAAGAACACGTGGCAGCAGAAAGACCCACCACCGGGTGTAGGATCGAAGGAACCATAAACCATTCTAATTGCACTCTCAATTGATTTTTAATACATGATGAGGGAAATTGATCTTTTTAATGAGATTTTTCTTTTGTGAAACTTTTTTAATGTGCAAATTGCAAGAAAGAATGCAAGAATTGCTCACTAAATTAATTTAAAGCTAATTTTTTTTCTCACACAAAAAAAAAATAAAAAAAATCATAGTTTTCACAGCATTCAATCGTTATGTCGTTTATTGTAATTTGTGAAGTATTTTCTGAAATTAATTTTCAGGAACGAAAATGGCTGAAGGAATTTCTTTTTAACTCGGTACTGCAAGATTAATGCTTGAAAAATAAAATTACCATGATCCATTATAAAAATTTCTTATTACTAATTTCAGTGAAAGACCTACATCTTATAATTTCGTGAAAGTATTTGGTAAGAATTTGTTTTGTTACATAAAAACTAATTTTCAAATCATTTGGTGCAATCTATTTTTTTTCATTGAAAAATACCAGTATTCAATACTGCAATTTATGTTTTCAGGGTGCAAATCGCTATTAAATTTTTTTGAGAGTGCAAAGTGCCAAAAGAGTACATTTCAAGGGTGCAAAGTGTAATTACACCATAATCAAAGAATTTGATTTTTATATTGTAGTAACTAGTAACAAAAGAGCAATTATTGTGCTACATGAATTTGCCTCCTTAAAGATTGAATTAAGTTAGATTATTTTTATTTCTTTCTCCTTAAAGATCTCCCAAAAGTAATAAATAAATTATTTTATTTCAAGAATTTCTGCCAAAAAAAAAAAAAGAAAAAAACTTATTGACAGATTGAAACATTTCATATCATGGAACAAAAGTTTAATTTCACGTCGTAATTTCATCGAATCTTTCCGGTATCGTTGCAAAACTCGGAAATGTAGCTGGTAAGTCCCTGCAGATCAGTGAAATAATACTCATTCCATCAATATAATTATTTACAAAAAAAAAATAAAAAAATAAAATCCTTCCATAGTATAATAAAGAAATTAATATTATTAATTACTTCAAGTAAGGAATAGTCATGTTCCTTAACAAGGACGGTCTTCGATCCGCAAACGCTTGCCATTCTTCGATGTCTATCCTCCCATCGTTTTCCGTATCCGCTTCCTCAAATGTCTTTACACAAAATTAAAATAATTATCATAATTAAATTTCTATAAATATATATATTTAACTAAACCGTGACATAAACATGATATATAGAGTCCTATATATATAACCTTATCGATTATAGCTTCGATAATGTTGTCAGGCAGTATCAAGTTCGACTCGTTAAGCAACTCGATTATCATCTCCTTAACCTTAAACCAATCGAAAGTTAAGATAGATAGTGGCGAAAATGTAATAACATTATAAGCACTCGATTAAAAGTGGTCTTAATTATTAATTACCTCGTCTTTTTCAATGTATCCGTTTCCTCTAGTGTCGTATAACTTAAACGCAACTGTAATATGAAGAAAAAAAGAAGCAAAGTGTTTATTTTTAATTAATTTGAACATATGCATGATTTTATATTGTGATATGCATGTAATTAATTATTATATATACAAATAGCTTTGTCTTGTTGAGGAGTATCGGGGTGGAATACGCTGAGTGATCTGACGAACTCGCCGAAATCTATCACCCCATCGTTTTTGGAGTCGAACATATCGAACATCTGTTGGATTAGTTAGAAGCAATAATATATACTTCTAATAACATGTAGCTTATATATATATATATATATATATAGATTGATGAATAAATAAAACAGTTAATTAAAATGATTGGTTACTATAATTGGAAAATTAAATATGTGTCACCCTATCTGCAAGAAGAGAGTGATGGTTGCTATTCCTAAACAATCCAAGTTTAAATTCTTCCTGTAATTTAAAATAAAAAAATAATATTAATAATTTAGTTTAGAAATTAAGAAAGATATTGAATAAACAATTAAAAATATATAAAAGATGAATTACATACTCTGTTAATGAAGCCATCGTCGACGAAAGTGCTGCCCAGTTTTCGAAACAGCTCGTTTAACGCTTTGATCTCTTTGACAGTAACTGGCAATCATGTATAACCATAAAAGAAAATGCTAATATTTTCTATTTTTTTTTATTTTTTTTAATTAATTATTATTTTTTGTTTTGATCATGTTTTTTCTTGACAAGAACATATAGCAGAATTAGAAAGAGAAATTACTTACATATTGTTTGAGAGGAAAGAAGGGACGGGTCTTCGAATATGCGTCGTTTCTTCGTGCAAACACACCCCATCGAAGAGTGCGTATTCTATCTTTTTCTTCGACTACGAACTACAAAAATGCAGTTATATATACTGTGATGCAATTTTTTAATTTTTCTTTTTTTTTTTTATTGTTTTTTGTAATTATATATATTAAGATAGTCCATTATTTAATGTTGTCAGTGGATTATTGGTTCTCCTGTCTAATTTTTTGTTGCCCCTGATTTTGCTCGGAGTTTACGTTCGAGTTTTCGAATATATAGATTCTCTTTAGAAGATATATTCTTGCTGATTGGGAGACAACCTTAATTTTATTGTCACGAAATCTGGGTAAGTTTTCTAGTTATATCAGGTTTCAAGAACTGACCTAGCTAAACAGTTAACAGTAAATATTTCTTGTTGGTTTGTGTAGACAGATTTTTCAAAAAAAAAAAAAAAAAAAACCCACTTACTATTTAGAGTCCTCCGTTTAGCTAAGTTTATTTTAAGCAACTGATAAGTTCTTACATTAGATACGTTGTTTTAAGAGTTGTTACGTATTTTTTGGAATTATTTTTTAAAGTGCTTGGATAACGATCTTATAAACTATTTCTACTTATTATAAACTCTTAAATAAAAGGGTAAACTTTTTAAAAAAATCTTATTTACTCGCCAACAATTTATTTTTAAATTATTTTGACAATTTATAAGTTTAGGCAATCACCCTTACTTGATTAATGCACGATGAAACAGTATTCTTTTGGCTTTTGAGATCCTACACCGGGTGAAATACACCGGGTAGATCTTTACCATTCATATACACACAAACACACACACACCCACATTGGTATGTGTAGATCAACTATAAAAAACTACCCGGTGTAACCTTCACCGGGTGTAGGATAGATAAAACCGTATTCTTGATGAAGTAATGTTTACCTTCCTTAATGGGGTAGCATAATTTGGATCTTTATTGCCTTTTGTAAAGATATTATCCATTAGTGGAAGTCTATTATCCATAAATAAGCTTATACAATTAAATGAGAACAAGTTCTTTCTTGAAAAGAAATAATAATAAATATATATTTTCTGCCTTATATCACACGCACTCAAATGTTAGGAACCCTAGTATGGGAAAAAAATTAATATCAATCGTTGAGATGCTACATCTGGTGAAATACATTGAGTGATTTTGTAACTGATTATTTAGCGAAATAACTTCCCACTAAACACACATACACATGAGTATGTGTGATAATGTGCAGATCAACAGTTAATAATCACCTGATGTATTTCACCGAGAGTGGTATCAAATAAATCTTCCAATGCCGTTTAGGCTAATCCTTAGTGATCATATGAGAATAAGTTCTAAGAGCACTACAAAACACAAGGTATGGATTCTATTTGAAGAATAAGATCAAAGAAATAAGAGTATATATTCATTAATACATGTTCTTCATTGCGGAAAAATAGTTATTTATATATTATACTTGGTGAATGTTACAACCAGATGCATTTTTACCGTTAATATACACATACACTAATCAGGGCCGTTCCTGAGATTTTGGGGGTCCTAGGCGAGATTTGTAGACGACTAAAAAATGGGGCCCTTCTACAATATACAATAAAAAAAATTCAAAAACGATGATAAACTCTATGTTAACTCGATTTTAGAAGGTACATAGCCGGTGGCAAGAGTAGAAATTTGTGATATAGTGGAGTTCAAGTTTTTTGGGGTTCGGGGGCAGCGCCCCGATTTCTTTTAAAATAATTTGTATGAAGTAGCACTAAAACAAGTGAATATATATAAAAATAAGTAACTAATACATTATAAATTTAATAATTAGGGGCCCCTGATTAGAGGAATTCTCAATAATTATATATATATATATATATATATATATATATATATATATATATATATATATATATATATATATATATACAATAAATGTTCATATATAGAGGGTATAAACAAATTTGGGGGCCCGAGATTTTTGAAAAAATCCGGGGCCCTAGGCGAATCGCTACTTCGCCTCCCCTCAGAACCGTCCCTGACACTAATATATGTGTGCGTGTGTGTTTCTGTACTTATGAACGATAAAGATCTAACCATTATATTTCACCCAATGCAGCATGGTATAAACCGGGGAAAAGAGAATTTGTGGCATAGAAGGGTTAAAATTTTGGAAAATTGCAACATTCCATTCATTGAGCTTGTCTGAATAAATTCATTCCGTGTAATCATTAACTTTATATTTGGATTATAGTTTGCGAGTTATCGTGCTAGATTCGAACTACACTTTACATATAGAGTCATTCGATTTTCCCCCCTTTAAATCGTTATATTTAAATCACTTGATACAAAAGTTATTTTTGGGGCAAGTTTTGTAGACGCACACGGGGGCGTTTGATCTTATTTATAATTTTTCGTCCTAAAGAACTTTGAAATCAGACGAATTAGATCGAAATTAGCACTTTCGAATAAATTCTCATAATTTCTTTTGAAAGTGAAAAATTAAATTCAGTTTCGTTCTAAAATAACTCAAAAAAAATATAAAAAAATCAGAATTTCAAAAATCAAAAAGCGCGTCGATTTTGAATATGCTAATTCCAATCCCCAATCAGTCCGATTTCCACCCTTAAATCATATGCCCACATGAATCTATTTATGAATTTGACTATAGTACTAAATATTTCATAGACCGATTCATATTAAAAAATAAAAAAAAGGAAGCACGTGGCCCGTAATTCCTGAAAGCCCATAACTATTGGGCTATCATTTTAATAAAGATTTCTAGGCCCGAATAAAACTATAGCTAAATACTATATTCAGTACCAAATTCATTACGCACATCCAAACACGCCACACTTATTTATATTATTTACCTTTTGCCCCCCGTGCTGCTTAATCTCATTTTTCCCCAATCATTTATATATGCGCAAATCAAAATTTCTTAGATTTATCAGGAAAAATCAATTCAATTTTTCTTCTTCTTGATCAAGCCTTTCAGCTGCAGTTGAAACTCAAATTCAATGAATAATCAGCCGTAAAATGATTTTTTTTCTCCAATTTTTTTATCCCAGAAAACAGTTGTTTTTAAAACCCAAGGTATTTCTAAATTCTTTCGGAGATTCTTGTAGCTGCTGGGTGTATTGATCTTGTTTCGAGCTTCTGTAATCGTTTTATGTGGAGATATGGATGTGGAGTTGTTCACTGATCAAATATCGGAGGATGAAACTTACGCACTTGACGATTACAACGAGGCAATTTTTTTTTTTTGCTGTTATCTTCTCTGTGTTTTTTTTAATCAGCAATTCGATTGATTGTGTTTTTGTTTAAATTTCAAATTGGGCGGATTACGGAAGTAGATTACGAAAAAACCGAGTAAAATTTTACCTTTTATTTATTGAAGGATGAAAACCAAATATTTTGCTTAGTGCTAGATTGTTTATGTGCAGGATTACTTGAATTTTGAGGGTGAAAGATGTGGGATTTGTACGGATGTTGTGATTGACAGAGGCGTGCTTGATTGCTGCCAGCATTGGTATGTTAATTGTGATAATATTTACTTTTATCGCTTTAATCTCTTGCGATGCTATCGGCATTGTTCGTTTGAGTATTTATGTTGTTGTTAATGTTTTTTTTTTTTTTTCGTTTACACCGACCCTTTTCACCAATCTAGCTTTTATTTTTACTTTCTGCTGGAATCTGGATATTTTACACTTAAGTTTGAAGTTTTTTGAAAATAAATTTAATCTCTTGTGTCATTACTGTAATTTGAGAGGATTATACATTTCAGAAAGAAACGAGCTTTTCTGTAGTCTTTGAGCTGAATTCTTTCTTGTATATGATATCTATCAATTCAATGGGTCTGTTAGCGTCTATCTTCTCTCGACTTAGTATGATGAGTTGGTGATAGCTAATCTGTGGGTGCACCCTATAAATGGGTAATCTCGAATGTACATCATCATACAAAGAAAGTGGTTTAAAGTCCTTCAGTATAAGCTTCTCTCTGCTGGGCAAGTTCGTATATTTGTTCTGCTGATTTTAATGATCACTTATATCTCAGGTTTTGTTTTGGATGCATTGACAACTGGGCTACCATCACGAGCCTTTGTCCTCTTTGTCAGAATGAGTTCAACTTATAACATGTGTACCGGTGAGTAACATAACCTGTTAGCTATTGGTCACTTCTTAGCCTGTTTATCCTATTAAATTTACATTTTAGACAAATTATGGCTGTAAAACTCATTTCTTTTTTCACTGATTGCATATTTACTCATCTCGCCGCGAATATGGTTCTGAAGGAAATGTTAAAACAATTGAATATTTTTCGTTTGATGCGTTTTTTGTGTTTTATTTTGAATTTCTCTCACATACGTATTTGCTTATGGTTACAAATGATGAATGAAGGTATATGATACTGTTGGTGGCAACAAGACTGATGATGATGATGATGATATAAATCCAAGGTATACTTAATTGCTCTTTTCTTGTAACTCTTAGTCTCTTAGGCTATGAACTTCACATGTAACTTTCCTATTATGTTCCACCAAATATTACAGAAGAGAGATGTTAAAAAAGGCTTTATGTTGGTTTTGGGGATTGATGGGTGCCAGAAGTGTTGGGACAGTTGCCCTCTGTCGGGATTTCAATCCGTAGAGTTATTAAATTCAAATGATTCACTTTGCTGACAACTTGAGCTTTTAGATAAGTGGTAATTCAACATGGTACATTGTACAGCACAAATAAAAAGTCCTTAGGTTTACCATTTAAAAAATGTTTCACGTGCAAGGGTTTATTAAGTAATATGACTGCCTTGAGGTACATGTAGACTTACTACGAAGTAAATGATTCACTTCACTAACAAGTCAATTTAGATGAAGTGATCATTCAACACAATCCAAGGCATTTAGTAATTGGAGGACAAGAAGTAGTCATAAGATTTATCCACCATCTACCCTCTCCCATTCTTCATTATGTATCCCCATATATGACCCTGTAAAGACAGAAACAGTTTTTTTATGGAACATGTTTTACAAATTCCATATTCGTTTGCTTTTCCAAATTGTCCTCTAGTCACAATATATTACTTAGATCTTGTTTGTTAGTAGAGTGGTAAGAAGATAAGCTTTTTACTAGATGGCAGTTGTTCTTCACTGCAAAGACAAAGAAGAGAAAACTTAAACTGCCGAAGAGAATTGGCAGTCTGTCGATTATAGTTCTAAGTTTTGGAATATTGAGTCCTGAGTCGGTAGAATGCAACTATTGATAGAGACCACCAGATGACCTGAATTTTAATTGAGGATCACAATATTGAAGTTATGGTGATCTTGTTGGGAATCGTAAGAATCAGTATTCTACTAGGAAGTTGAATTTGCAAATTATATGTAATGATTCTTTTAACAAGTCAAAGTTACTATGCATTTTATTTTTGGTAATATCTACAAAGGCTTACTAGAACTTTCTTTATATTGTTGCAGAGACGATGATTGGTTCGTTGAAGGGAAAAGTAACACTCTTTCTTTTCCGTCATACTATATTGATGAAAATGTAAGTTGATGGCCAATGGTCTTGCTACTGCACATATTTTATGTATTCCTAATTAACATTAAAACCATTTTCAAGACATCTATAGTACCGCTGAGGATTTAAATTGCACTTTGCTCACTACTTGTTGATCATCTTCAATAGATAATTGAGCTTCAGAAAGACGAAACTTGAGAAGTGGTAGTAGCATTTTTCAAGCCATTAATTTGCGAAACAATAAGTTTTGCTAACTAGATACTGGTCTTTTTTGGTCATTGAGTTCATGATCCTCAGATTATTACTTAAGTTTCTTTGTTCTTTTTCTGGAACTCATTTCAGTATAATCCAACATTAGTAAACATGTAATCATGGCCACTTTGTAATTCTTGTAGGCAGTTGTCTGCTTGGATGGAGATGGCTGCAAAATCCGAAGTGGATCAGTGGCAATTACTGAAGATTCTGATATTGATACATCCATTGCTTGTGATTCCTGTGATAAATGGTATACAACAAAATATCCAGTTTTCCATTTATTTTTGTTCAGCCTTTTCCTTTTTTCATGGAAATGGAGTGATCATGGTTTACAATGAATGAACTTGGACACTGAGTGGGGCCTACAGCTACCTTGTCTGCTCTCACTGATGCTCGATGCAGTACCTTTATATCCATTTCGTACTAATCTCAGAGTTTTTTATTTGGTATTACAAGAACGTCTTGATATATGAAATTCACGATTTTGGAGTTATCTGAATTTTATGTGCACTTTTAATTTGCTAGCACTCCCGTCTTCTCCTCTTTGACTTATACCTTTTCAATTTCTTCCCATGTGTCCTTGCCTTGTCATTATTTACAATATTAATTGTACCATTGGCTATTTCATGATACTGCATTTTTAGAAATGTGCCCAGTGTCCGCAGGAAGTTGATTGACTTCCTCGTGCTGGCAGTTCTGCCAAGCCACAAAAAGGAACAAACTCTTTCAAATCTTTCTTTAATAAGTTAAACTGTCACTATTGTGTCGCTCACATGTCCAGGAATCTTAAGAAGTTATGGAGATCTAAAACTATATGCTGTATGAACCAGAATATTATGGTTAACTTTCCCAGAAAGTTTGGTAACTTCTGATTGGCATTCGTTCATTCATTATCAAAATTGACTTTGTGAAGTTTTTATATCTGTATATTGGGTTGTGCTGTGAAGTTGTTGTAAGTGATTTTTCAATGTCTTCTTCTGATTTGTTACTGTATTGTATGTGAACAGGTACCACGCTTTCTGTGTGGGATTTGATTCCGAAGGCACTTGCGAAGGCTCATGGCTATGCCCAAGGTAATTAATTGGTTCCCTTTTAAACCTGCCCCTCATATCGGCTTATTATCTATACGCTTCAAAAAATTGTTATAAGTGGTTACCTCTAATAAGGAAACTGTCCGTGGGTTGATTCTTGGTGGATATTTGATACTGTATCGTTAGTTGATGCAGGTGCACCGTTGGTGAAAGTTCACAGAAGCCGGACAACAACAGGGTTTCAGTATTATCAGAAACCTATCAAAACGGTTTAGAAATCGCTAGTGGTGATCACTGCCTAGCTGAAGCATCTTTTTCTGGAAGAGTATCGGTATCTGTTGCTGATGAGGGCGAGACAGCTGTAGTTATCTCACTGGTTGACAGAAATCAAGAGAGTCGAGAATCAAATGAATCAGTCTTGGGGTGTAGCAAAGACGGGGAAACTGCCTTGTTATCATGTTCAGTATCCGACATGCCGAATTTGGAAGCACTACCAGGAGATAGGAACAGTGTTGAACCTAACTCAGTTCATCAAGAAATGGAACTTTCTTTATCACCGATTTCCACATTACCCGCTGAGCTGAAAAAAATTGCTGATGATGCACTGAGAACTGCCCCAAGACATATAAATAACAAAACGATCGAAATCGACGCTAGTGTAGACCTTGGTCTTGATTTACCTATGGATTCTGATACACCGGGTAATTGCATTTCTAAGGCACTTTACTTAATTCCCATTGATCTTAAGGTAGCATATAATTAAGCACAACTATAGAGTTTATCTTGTATTCTCTTTCATGTTTTTGGTAGACATGAAGGACAACGACACAGCTGAAGATCATGTGCCTGAATGTTTGGAACCGAATAATAGGTCGGAAGATCTTTTGCCAGGTATAAGATAAGAGTGAGCAGCTATATCACGATTCATTCTCAAGTATCAATACTTTCAGCAATTATATAGTATATCTGTCTGTTAAGTCAAGCTCATTATTGCTTCTTTGCCTTCCCTTCAGCTGATAAGAAGCTGCCTGCTGAAATGGACGTGTTGTCACGAAAAAGTATGACGTGTGATGAGAAAGAGACCATAAGTGGAATTGCTCGGGGTAAAAGGAAGTACAGAGATAACAGGTTGTTATACCATAGAAATGCCTCATTTCCAGTTTTACATTAATGATGATGCTTCAAACTTTACATTAATGAAATAACAAATTACTACAATACCTTTTCTTTTCTTTTCTTTTTATTTGGCCTTGTTTCACGTAGTTCTTTGTGATGGTTGTAGAGATGCGGACGAGGGAGAAAGAAAAGCGAACAGCGAGGCTGAGTTTTCTCGAAAGAAAGTGAAAGCCGAAAGAAATTGTCAGTCCGTTAGTCTGACAGATCAAACAGCTGTATCCGCTCGAGATGACTCTACTGCTACTTTTAGTCAAAGTGGTTCGAGGAGGAATAACACAGCTAAATCTATATCTAAAAAGGAAAATAGTATCTCTGATATAATGGATATAGTTAAAGGAACAGATCGTAAAAAGAGAAATTCATCCGACGTAACCCCCAAAGAAGGAGAAAGTGGGTTGAGGCTCAAGAAAATCGTGAGGAGAGCTGGCGAAGATAAAGATTCTTTAGAGCTGGTTCAAGAGCTCAGGAAAAAAATCAGAGAAGCGGTTCGTAATAAATCCTCTAAAGAGATCGGACAAGAGCTTTTTGATCCAAAACTTTTGGATGCTTTTCGAGCTGCTTTGGCTGGATCTGTGCCTGAAAACAGGAAACAGCCTCTGGATGTGAGGGCAAAAAAGTCATTGCTGCAAAAGGGAAAAATACGTGAAAATCTAACAAAGAAGATATATGGGAATGGAGGGAAGCGACAACGAGCTTGGACTCGGGAATGTGAAGTTGAATTCTGGAAACATCGGTGCACAAAAGCATCAAAGCCTGAAAAAGTTCAGACACTAAAGTCAGTTCTTGACCTGCTAAGAGATAATTCCGATTCCACAAAGAAAGCGCCGAGAGTTGAAGAAGAGGCGAAGGGTTCTGTTCTTTCAAGATTGTATTTAGCTGACGCATCCGTTTTTCCTAGAAAGAATGATATCAAACCTGTTGCAAATCTTGAACAGAACAAGGAAAGTTGTTCCACTGGCAAAAGTCCTACACCATTGACCGTTGACCAGCCTGACAGGAATCCACTGCAGCACCGGGGTTTATCACAGGTGATTGCTCCTCCTTTAGATAGTAAAGAGACGAAGAAGAGTTCCAAGGGGAAAGTAGCAGTGACTTCTGCATTAAAGCCTTCAGAAAAGGGTGATAAGAAAAAATGGGCCTTGGAACTTCTGGCGAGAAAAACAGCAGCCTCGGGAAAGAATATGCAAGAGAAAGAAGAAGACAGCACGATTCTCAAAGGGAATTATACTTTACTGGTAGTAATATTATTTATCATTTTTTCTTCCGAAAATTCTTCTATCTCCTTCCTGGTAATTTGTTAATTGAATCAAGTGCCTTCATTTTGGTGGATTCGAGCAGGCCCAACTGCCAAAAGAAATGCGGCCTGTTTTGGCCCCTAGTCGTCACAATAAAATCCCTATGTCGGTGAGGCAGGTAAATTTATTTTTCATGTCCACAGAAACAAAATATGTTTTATTACCCCTGGTCCATACGAATGGAAAGTTTGTATCTTGAAGAAATTGATTAGTTGATTTGAAATTAATATGATATGCCTTAATATTGGGATTTTATGAACACAATAGGAATTTAAATTGATTTGCCGCTTATATATTTGTTGTGATATGACATTTTCTTCAATGTACTAAACCCTTGTCGTGCAAATGAATTTGGCACTTTTGCTATTCCGATAAGGTATCTCTTGCAACATACCAACTCCTTAAGAATCTGCAGAAAGAATTGGAAATACAATCGAGTTTTGTATGTAACTTTACAGATGATTGATTTAACAATTAGTTGTTATACAGGCTCAACTTTATCGCCTGACGGAGCACTTTCTGAAGAAAGCAAATATGTCACTAGTTAGTAGAGCTGCCGAAACAGAGTTGGCAGTGGCAGATGCTGTTAACATCGAAAAGGGAATTGCCGACAGGTCAAACAGCAAGCTTGTATACGCGAATTTGTGTTCACAGGAGCTATTACGCAGACCAGACAATGTGAACTCCGAGAGAGCTACAGAAGAAGAAATTCATTGCTCCACTTCAGAACGCCTCTCTGAAGAAACAAATAATAGCTCTTTAAAAGATTTGTCAGTCGATGAAGCACTGAGAAAAGCAGGGCTCGTTTCAGATTCCCCTCCAAGTAGCCCCGATCGTTTCCAAACGGATCTTATCAATGAGGACGAACCTGACAGTGTTCTTGAAGTCGATTCTAATCAGGAACTCGATATTTACGGCGATTTCGAGTATAATTTGGAAGATGACGACTTTATTGGTGCTGGATCTTTAAACATTTCTAACTTACAGCCCGAACAGCCGAAGATCAAATTGTTGTTTTCCTCCATTAAAGCTGAAGAACCAAATGTGGAAGCTTTGGAAGGTTTGTCTGATCCGCTTGAGTTTCGGAACAAGACTAACGATGGAGGCTCAACTGTGGATAGTGTAAATTCTCCCATCGATAAAGATGACGAGCCTTCTTTGGCAGAATGTGAAGATGATGCAGAGTGTGAAGAACTCTATGGACCTGAAAAAGAGCCACTTATTAAAAAATACCCAGAAATCGCCATATCCATCGCACCAGTCGAACAGGCAGCAAGTAAAGAATCACATGGAGAAAACGGAGATTGCGGGCCCCACGAAACGGAGAAGAACAACACCTTTGAATCGAAACAATCAAAGAATGCAACGAAAAAGGAGAAGAAAAGCAGCAAGCAATCAGAACAGAATAATAGTGTGGTCATGAAAAAGGTAAACAAAAATCTACTTATTAACGAGTGCCGGTTGTGCGTACGTAATAAATAATAACGGGTTATTTTTATGATGTTACCGGTCAGGTTGAAGCATATGTAAAGGAGCATATAAGACCACTGTGCAAGAGTGGTGTGATAACAGTTGAACAGTACAGATGGGCTGTGAACAAAACAACTGAGAAAGTAATGAAGTATCACTCTAAGGAGAAAAATGCAAATTTTCTTATTAAGGAAGGTGAAAAAGTTAAGAAACTGGCTGAGCAGTATGTTGAAGCTGCTCAGGACAAAACAGGCACTTAAATTGTAATTTTTTTTTAATTATTATTATAATTTTTATTATAGGATTTTAAGGATCTTTATTATTACACATTAAAATACATTAATTGTATTGTTTGGTGGGGGGGCAAGAAAATTTGTGACACACACACACACACACGTCACCAACGCAGTATGCTTTGACTCCTCCTCAGTTATATTCGTGTGTGACTCATTTACGAAAATTCGCAATACCGAGTATAAAATCAAATGATTGACGATTCAAAACTCTATTCAATTCATTCATGCCTAAGTCGATTCAAAAGTTAAAATAAGTCTTAAATATCAACAAATGGATCAAATTTGACGATTTAGGAAAACTTTAATTCATTATATAATTTATAATAAACTTGTGATGATTACGGCTTTTGTCCCCATGTTATATACAATTTTTAATTTTGGTCCTTAAACCGGAAATGCCCCCAAGTGGAGGTCAATTTGTAATTTCTAAAAATCCACCTCCCTGGCTCAAACAGTTCTGAAAATTGCAGAATCACCCTTATACCTAATCCATCTTCCTACACGCTCCATCCAAATTGCAAATTTGACCTCAAAGTGGATCTCTCTTTCGATATCCAAAATACCCGTCTCATTTACGAGAATTTTCAATACCGAGCATAAAACCTTATGATATACGATTTAAATCTTACGATTCAATTCATTCATATCTATGTGATTCAAATGTTAAAATAAATCTTAAAATCAACAAATCAATCAAATTTTACGATTTTTAGTCCATATATATATATATATATAATTTTGGTCCTTAACCAGAAATGCCCCAAGTGGGGGTTAATTTGTAATTTCTGAAAATCCATCTCCCTTACTGAAACAGTTTTGAAAATTACAGAATCACCCTATTTACTCTATCTTCCGAGCCGCTCCACCTAATTTGCAAATTTAACCCCAAAGCGAATCTCTCTTGAAATATCCGAAATATCCACCACCAACGCAGTATGCTTCTACGACTCCTCGGCTATAATCGTGTGTGACTCATTTACGAAAATTCACAATTCCGAGTTTAAAATCTTATGATTTACGATTCAAATCTTACGATTCAATTCGTTCATACCTAAGTCGATTCAAAGTTCAAAAAAATCTTAAATATCAACAAATCGATCAAATTTTACAATTTATGATTTATGAAAGATTTTTTTTATTATATTATTTATAATAAACTTGTGATAATTACATTTTTTCCCTATATTATATACCATTTTTAATTTTGGTCCTTAAACCGGAAATGCCCCCCAAGTGGAGGTCAATTTGTAATTTCAAAACATCCACCTCCCTGGCTCAAACAGTTTTGAAAACTGCAGAATCACCCTTATACTTACTCCATCTTCCTATCCGCTCCACCCAAATTGCAAATTTAACCCCAAAGTGGATCTCTCTTTCAATATCCAAAATATCCGCTACATTTACGATTCAAATCTTACGATTCAATTCATTCATATCTATGTCGATTCAAATGTTAAATAAATCTTAAATCTCAACAAATAGATCAATTTTTACGATTTTTGGTCCCTATATTATATACCTATTTCGCATCGCACGCGCCGTCATTCAGATAGCCTTTAACAGAAGGAAGAAAAATTAACTCCTGATTAATCAGCTTTCGTTAACACATAAACGAGTTTGTATTTTGACAATCATTTGTGCACCAGCAAATTCCCTTGTTTCCAAGGGAGTGAACCCCACAACACCCTCGGTAGACAACTTTAAATCGTCACTTCCCATCGCCACATTTGACACAAATTTTACCTAATCGTAAAAAAAAGATAAAAAAAATGCAGCCTAAAAATCAATATATGAAAGTATGTCGAAAATACATAATACGATAAGTTCTTGTATTCACTCGAGGCACCCGGCACCGCGCATTGCGTGGTGCTCTACACTAGTATATATATATATATATATATATATATATATATATATATATATTTGGACATATTATTATTTTTTAATTTTCTAAAACATACAAAAGTTAAAAACTCAAAATTTATTAAAATTAAAACTTTAAATTTTATTGGCAAATAAAATTTAAAGTTTTAATTTTTAAATCTAAAATTATCATAATAATTTGATTTGCTTGTAAGTAAAATTGATGATGTTTGTAAAATATAACGATTTTTTATTGTATTACAAAATAAATCCAGTCAATAATTGTCATATTGCCCACTTCTATGTAAAATTCATTCTCACCATTTATCTTTCAAATTAAATTGTTTAAGGCCAATATTTCATATACAAGTGTGTTAAATGATTGAAGCCAATTTTTCATTTTTCAAAAGTTTTAAGTCATTTATGAGATTTAATGTAAAATTGACGATTAAAATTTGTCTATGAGATGTTATATCTGGTGAAAGCATGATTTTACACTATAGATCAATACAAATAATTGTTCATTGAACACACATATACATGGTGTGTGCGTTATTATATGTAGTTCAATAATACTGGATCACCTACTGTATTTTATTTTACCAAGTGTAGCATTTACAAAACCTGATTGATTATATAGAACTTGGCATTGAAATAGGATGAAGATAAAAATGAAGCAGCAAAAATAACCACTATTTATACATGTACCTACAACAACAGAAACGAAAGAAGGAAAGAAAAAAAATCGGTACCAAATGAATTAATGGAATGGATTCGATTTGGGGATTGCAATACATACCGAGAACACAAAATTATATGATGCTCTGCAGAATACATACGCTCAAACGGGAATTTTTAAGCAGGCTCGTAAAGACCTAAGACGTGTCCATCAGCACACCGGATTGCTGCCACCTGTTGAATCCGATATACCGGAAAATATTCAAAATAAAAGGAGTAAATCTAAAAGAAAATTGTAATCGAATTACATTACCTTTCCGTGGACTTCGTATTTAATCGGACCGTCCAATTCGGCGCCTAAAGACATCAGTTTCGTTACAGTGCTATTGATGTCGGTTACTGTAAATGATAGTAGTGATGAGTAGCCCTTGCTCTCAACATGGTCGCTGAACAATAAGAGAAAGCCGATAATTTAATTACACGGTCGACTTCGGAGAAAGAAGTGATGAATCAATTCTTACACTTTTTTACAAGTAACTTAAAACATATGCATCATCATGGCTTTATTAATCACTTTTTTTACGGAAGAAAATGATTTCGAACAAATTCTCGCGAGCACCGTAGCAATTTCAACACCAGATTACGAACGCTACGGGGAGATCCGTCTAATAAGTAGTCTAATAAGTAATATCGACGTATCGTGTTTTACGATTCTTCGAAGCATACACATCAAACACAATTACACAATGGTCATAATCCAAAGATTGGAAGAACAGTGTTCATGATTCAAAAACCTAGTACAACTAGGGCATCAACCAGTAAGCAATAATTTTAACAATTTCTGTACAATTTTCTACACAGAATCATTGAAATCAGAATTATCTACGGATTCACCACGCTCGAATTTCATCTGAATCTTATGATGAGAATCTTTATTCAGTAAATCTAATACCAAACTAAAATCAATTTTTTTTTTGAAAAATTGAGAAAGAGGGAAATTGACCTGGGGGAATGCAGGAGGGAGAGCTTGAGAGGGCCCGAATGGAGCTCGGCCCATCGGAGAGTGCAAACGTCAATGGTGAAGCCCAATCCCTCTGAGTAGAATCTCGCCGCTTTTGGAACGTCCTTGTGTAGCTGTACCAAGTATCTGAACGTCGCTGCTGCCATTACCGATGAAGAGAGAGATCGTAATACGACGCCGTAATGTATTGTATTTTGTGGCGACGCCTAAACTATAATTTGAGGTTTAATTAAGTGGTAAATGACACCTACACCCCTAACATATATAGTAAAATAATTTTAAGCCAATGTCATGGCCGTAGGGGTGAAAATCGGACGGATCGGATCGGATTTGTGTGTTTCGGAAAATTTCCGATTATTTTCGGAAGTCCAAAACGACTTCCGATTCCGATTTTTTCGGAATTCAAAAAGTGATTCCGATTCCGATTTTTTCGGAATTTTCGGAAAATCGGAAATCTTCATTTTCGGAATTTTCGGAAATTTTTCGGAAACTTTTCGGAATTTTCCCAAAAAAAAAAAAAAAAAAAAAAAAAACTAAAAAAAAGTGAGCACCGACACAGTAGCAAAACAGAGCATACTCACACAAAAACACACAACAGACACCAAAAATTAAATTAAATCAATTGAATGAAGATTAAATTTGAATCAATTAAATTAGATTTATTCTAAAAATACCCGATAGAGAGAGCGGCTTTGCTGGTGGTCGTCGGAGAGCCGGGAGGCGCTGGTGGTGGTGGTCTTCGGAGAGCCGGGAGGCCTGGTTGCGATGGTGGTGGTTGGAGAATCGGGAGGCGCAAGTGGTGGTGGTCGTCGGAGAATTGGGAGCCGCTGCTGCTGGTGGTGGTCGTCGGAGAGCCGAGATACGCTAGTGGTGGTGGTCGTCGGAGAACCGGGAGGCAGTGGTGGTGGTGGTGATCGTCGGAGAAGGCGCTGGTGGTGGTGGGGGAGAAAGAAAGGTCGGATTGCAGAGAGAGAGTCGGGAAATTAGGGTTTCGAAGTAACTTTAATAAATTTTGAGTTTTTAACTTTTGTATGTTTTAGAAATTTAGAAATTTTTCTTTAGGCCCATTTCTTTTTCCTTTTCTTTGTGCCCATTAAATTTTGATTTTCGAATTTTTTTTATTCTGCTGGCTGAGAAACGACGCCGCTTTGCCATCGCCAACATTTGTTGACCTCCGCCGTTGATTAGTCTGCCGCCCCGCCGCTGCTCCACCCGATGCACCTGTACCACGGCACCGCTTTTTTCCTCCAATAGTATGCGTCGCCGCCCTCCTCGTCTCTATCTTCAATTTGTGGGCTGTCATATATATATATATATATGGGTTTTCTGCATTTTCAGAATTAGCTTTCATCTTTTCTCTTCGCATTCAACCGGTTCCAAGATTCAACCTTTTTCCGATTCCTGGATAACTCTTTCGTTACTGTCACAGGTTAGGACACTAAATTTACTTATTTTACTGATTCTTTCAACTTTCTTTAATTAATTACTGGAAAACTCATGTTAAACCCTCGTTAAGGGTACTGATTCTAATTACGTATCTATCTTGTCTGTGCTTTTTTCTTTTGTTTTCGTTTAGGGTTTTTGTAGTTCTAATTCTAATTTGGTGGGTCAGTTTCAGCCACCGTCGATATGACTACGGCAATGAAGCTGCATCGCACCTCGTCCTCGAGACCGGCGACTCCTCCGCTGGCGTTGATGGGGGTGGATGGGGCAGCGATCCTGATTTCTGTGATCCTTTCGACATTGCCAACACCAAAAACGCCTCCCATGAATCGCTCAAGCGCTGGAGGGTAAGATTTCGCCCGCGTGTGTTTGTTTATTGTATTGCATTTAATTATCACATGCAATAAATCGTTTGTTTTCATCGTAAAATGTGATGTCGTTGTTGGTGATTCTTTTATGGCCTCTGTTTTGGTTTCATGCACGTGACGTTTCGATTACCCGATCCCATAATAGTGCATCTTATTTTTCTGTTTGGAGGATAAGTTAAACGGTTGAATGATTAGTCGTCGAATTTATCGTTTTTGCTTTTATGGTTATGGAATTTAAAATCACTTGAAATTCGATGAATTACATGCATGTGCACCTCTTCTGATTGTCTAAGTCTTGGTCCTTTTGCAGCAAGCCGCCCTCGTGCTTAATGCTTCGTGATGTTTCCGCTACACGTTAGACCTGAAAAAAGACGAAGAACAAGAAAAGAGAAGACGGATGATCAGAGCACATGCTCAGGTCATAAGGGTAATATTAAAACACATTAGTCTTCATTCCGTACTTTTATTAATTCGATTCTTGATATTCTGGTGTCGGTGGTTGTAGGCTGCACTGCTCTTTAAGTTGGCTGGACAACGAGCAATAGGTATTTTTCAAGCGTTGCTTCTTTTTAAGCTGGTTTTCTTATTTCCATCTCTGCTACAAACCTGATTTGATTTTCGACAATTCAGTATTAGGCACGACAGTAGATCCACCATCTCCTAACGGTGATTATGAAATCGGCCTCGAGCAACTTGCTTCGATGAACAGGGATCATAATATTACAGCACTGCAACAATATGGAGGGGTAACACTTCCTTTTTCCCTTCACCATCTCTCTAGGAAGTTTGCTAACATATGCTATATGCATAAATATTAATCTCGACCGTCATTTTATTCAGGTTAAAGGGTGGGCAGAAATGATAAAAACAGACGTCGAAACAGGGATATACGGTGACGAAAATGAGTTATCACGAAGAAAGAATGTTTTCGGCTCGAACACGTATCCCGTGAAAAAAGGAAGGAGTTTCTTGGTAAGACTTGTCTAGAGTGTTATATTTTTTTGCTCGGATGTTCTTACTTATACATTTCCACCATTTACTTATTCGACGTTTGTTTTTGCGCAGAGGTTCCTATGGGAGGCTTGGCAGGATCTAACTCTCATTATTTTAATAATAGCCGCCGTGGCCTCTTTGGCTCTCGGAATAAAAACTGAAGTTGGCTTGAAATACAACAATACCATATTACTAAAGAATTTATATAATTTCCTTCATATATAATTTAAGAATTGCTCGTGTTTTCCAGGGCCTGGAGGAAGGATGGTACGACGGAGGAAGCATCACCTTTGTTGTTCTTCTGGTTATTTTTGTTACAGGTTAGAAAATTCAGATTGGTTATTTATAACCTTAGGAGAGAAGTAATATAATTTTCACTTTTTATCATTGCATCTGTTGTTCAGCAACTAGTGATTACCGGAGTCCCTCCAGTTTCAAAATTTAAACGAAGAAAAACAGAACATCAAATTGGAGGTAATATTCCAGTCACGCAATTATTCAAGCTTTTACCTTCTTGCTATTGTTCTCTTTAGAGTACTCTCATGGATAAACATATGTACAGATGATCAGAGGTGGCAGAAGAAACAAGGTTTCGATATACGAGATTGTGGTTGGAGATGTCATACCTCTCAAGATTGGTGATCAGGTGATAACAGATTCGATTTTACTCGCTATACTTTCTTGGACCACGCATCATTGTCTAAAAGAGTCTCCTAATGTATTTTACACAGGTTCCTGCCGATGGAATCTTGATAAGCGGACATTCTCTCGCCATTGACGCATCCAGCATGACTGGAAAAAGCAAGATTGTGAGCTGCTTAGACTTTATTTTGAAGGTTTTATAATATTAGATTATTATAATTTTATTTCTCACACACAATGCCATTATTGCAGGTCCACAAAGACCACAAATCTCCATTTTTGATGTCTGGTTGCAAAGTAGCAGCTGGTGCCGGAACAATGATGGTAAGATATAAAACTTTCCCACCTCCAGTAAACGAATTTTCGACCACGCTTAATTTCTGTTCCAATTTCAGATGTTGAATAATTATAACAAGTTCAAATTTCTGTTTCAGGTAACTGGTGTCGGAATCAACACCGAATGGGGATTGTTGATGGCCAGTATTTCAGAAGATACCGGTGAAGAAACTCCTTTGCAGGTACTTATTGGATATAACGGTTCATCTTTTCATTGTTTACTTACTACAAGAAAATAAATAAAACCAAGTATGGATCCTGTTGATACATTACAGGTGCGCCTGAATGGTGTTGCAACGTTTATAGGCATCGTTGGGCTCACCGTGGCTCTCTTCGTGCTGATTATTCTCTTAATCAGGTAATTTGGGCAGTGTTTCGTGTTATCTTATTCTACGAGCACTTTCTGAGTATCAGTAACATTGACAAATTAATTACCTCAGATTTTTCACGGGGACGTAAAAAAATCCCGAGGGATCTGTTCAGTTCGTCCATGGAGAGACCAGTGTTAGCGAAATAGTTGATGGGGTTATACATATCATAACTGCTGCTGTAAGTTTCTACATTTTGATATGTAATTGCGAATACGTTAGATAACCTTTTTTTTTCTGTTCATTGACTGAAGTCCTTCGTTTAGGTCACGATAGTGGTGGTTGCAGTCCCGGAAGGGCTCCCGTTGGCTGAAACCTTGACGTGAGTATCATAACTTGTCTTTTGTGTACATCAATTGTTGCCGTTTTGTCCTTATTTTGATTTCGATTTATCTTGAATTTATAACAGCCTAGCATACTCCATGAAAAAGATGATGGCTGACAAGGCCTTGGTATGTCGACTTTACTTCCATCTTTCCCAGAATATTTAGTTTATTCAATTGTATTACAGCTTTATTATTAACTCAACATATCTTTCAGGTGCGTAGACTTTCCGCCTGTGAAACTATGGGATCTGCAACAACCATTTGCAGTGACAAGACTGGAACATTGACACTAAATCAGGTTATTTTACTTTCCCTGTCCTTTTTTTTTTTTCCGACTTTGGTGTAACTAACTTTGACAAACTACGTACGACAGATGACTGTAGTTGAGGCTTATGTTGGGAAAAAGAAGATGGATCCTCCTGAAGACGGTGCTCAGTTGCATGCAACAATTTCCTCTCTTCTAGACGAGGGACTTGCACAGAACACTTCCTGCAGTGTTTTTCTATCTAATGTATTCTTTTCATCAGTACATGAGTGCATGTGAGCATGGATTTTTCAAGTCTTTTCGTAAATAAATGTCTGTGCTTCGGAAGGGAGTGTGATCATTAACCGAGTTTTTATCTCTTGTTGTGTTTAGGAGGGTGCAATGGAGGTTTCGGGATCTCCAACCGAAAAAGCTGTCCTTCAATGGGGTGTTAAGGTACTTTTAAGCCGTACGATAGTGTATCTATATTTCCAACTTTTAACACAACTCAGGTACTGAATCCATAGTTCTCCATGTCTCTCCTTTCAATTCCATTAAGAAGCGAGGGGGTGTTGCAGTAAGAGGAAAGGTAACGATTCATTTATTCGATGCTTTTATGCTCATGTTTATAGCGGTTCTTCTTCTTTGTAGGTGAAGTAAAAATAGGTGTTTCAGTTTTGCACAAAAATAAACACATAGGTGCCTCGAGCAAATTATTCCTGCATTAAGATTTAATCGTTTACTGATCTCATTATAGTTCTGATTTTGGGCAATAGAATATTTTCGATGCCCTTTTTGTTCAACATGAGAGAGAGCTACTAAACTATTTCCGATGCACTGTCGTTCTAACTTTCGTTAAAGGCTACCGGAATAAAGGCATGCGGTACGAAATAAGCGATGGTTGCAGTGTGTAACTGCCTCGGCCCAAGGTTTGAATGTAATTTTTGGCTTCTCGTATTTTATTCGATGTTAGGAAAGTAAAAGTAAATTATGCCATTTTACCTGTCTATGGCTCTGATAGGAAAAATGAACTTCAAGGGCAAGCTGAGGGAGCTCCCGGTGATGGTTATGTCGTCGAAGAACGTTTTGCTCGCACGGATAGGTATTAGCCTATATCAAGATTTTATTATTACTATTATTATTATGAAATATATATTCCTATTTTCAGTATCTAGATTCTTGTATAGTGGGAGATGGTTAGTCTAATGACAATGCGGATGAATGTTTTACAAATGGTTTGGAGGGGTATAAATAAATTTCAAGTAGCAGTTATATGTTGCTTGAATTTCTCATTATGTCGAGTTTGCGATTTTCTTTATTTATTCTTTTGGTGCAGGGAAATTATATGACATTGGATTATGATTTATGATTCAAATCTTACGATTCAATTCATTCATACCTGACTCGATTCAAATGTGAAAATAAATTTTAAATATAATCAAATCGATCAAATTTTACGGTTTACGATTACCAATTTGGTTTTGGGAGGAAAGGAATGAATTTACGAAAAAATTAATTTATTATATTATTTATCATAAACTTGGGATAATTACAGATTTTGTCCCTATATTACATACATTTTTTTTTAATTTTGGTCCATAAACAAGAAATGCAACCCAAGTGGGGTCAATTTAAAATTTCTGGAAATCCACTCCCCTGACTGAAACAGTTTTCCTTTTCCTTTTGGTCCTTGAACCATAAATGCACCACTCAATTTGAAATTTCTGGAAATCCAACTACCTGGCTGAAATGTTTTTGAAAACCACAGAATCATCTTCCAATATCGAGTTTAAAATCTTATGATTTACGATTCAAATCTTACTATTCAAACTGTTCATACCTAAGTCGATTCAAAAGTTAAAATAAATCTTAAATATCAAGAAAACAATCAAATTTTACAATTTACGATTTAGGAAAACTGCAATTTATTATATTATTTATAATAAATTTGCGATAATTACAATTTTTGTCCTATATTATATACAGTTTTTTATTTTGGTCCTTAAACCGGAAATGCCCCGAAGTTGAGGTCAATTAGTAATTTCTGAAAATTCACCTCTCTGAAATAGCTCTGAAAATTGCAGAATTACCCCTATACTTACTCCATCTTCCTACCCGCTCCACCCAAATTGAAAATTTGCCCTGTGGGTCTCTCTTTCAACATCCAAAATTTCCGCCACATTTATGAAAGTTCGCAATTCCGAGCATAAAATCTTATGATTTAAGATTCAAATAGAACAATTCAATTCATCTATATCTATGTCGGTTCAAATGTTAAAATAAATCTCAAATATCAACAAATCGATCAAATTTTACGAATTTCGGTGCCTATATATTATACCTTTTTTTTTTATTTAATTGTCCTTAAACCAGAAATACACCCCAAGTGGGGGTGAATTTGTAATTTCTGGAAATCCACCTTCCTGGCTGAAACAATTTTGAAAATTACAGAATCACCCCTATACTTACTCCATCTTCCCAGCCGCTCCACCCAAATTGCAAATTTAACCCCAAAGTGGATCTCTCTTGCAATATCCGAATTATCCACCACCCACACAGTATGGTTTTACTACTCCTCGGCTATAAACGTGTGTGACTCATGTACGAAAATTCGCAATACCAAGTATAAAATCTTATGATTCACGATTCAAATCTTACAATTTAATTCGTTCATAACTAAGTCAATTCAAAAGTAAAAAATAAATCTTAAATATCAACAAAACGATCAAATTTTACGATTTAAGAAAACTAAAATTTATTATATTAGTTATAATGAACTTGCGATTGTTACAGTTTTTGTTCCTATATTATATACAGTTTTTAATATCGGTTCTTAAATCGGAAATGCCCCCAGGTGGAGTTCAATTTGTAATTTCCGAAAATCCACCTCCCTAGCTGAAATAGTTCTGAAAATTGCTGAATCACCCCTATACTTGCTCCATCTTCTTAGCCGCTCCACCCAAATTGCAAATTTGATCCCAAAGTGGATCTCTCTTTCACTATCCAAAATATCCGCCACATTTACGAAAATTCGCAATACCCAACACAAAATCTTATAATTTACGATTCAAATCTTACGATTCAATTCAGTCATATCTATGTCGATTGAAATGTTAAAATAAATCTTCAATATCAATTAATCGGTCAAATTTTACGATTTTTTTGTCCCTATATTATTATACCTTTTTTTTTTTAATTTTGTTCCTTAAACCACAAATGCACCCTAGTGGGGGTCAATTTGTAATTTCTTGAAATACACCTCGCTGACTTAAACAGTTTTGAAAATTGCAGAATCACCCGTATACTTACTCCATCTTCCCACCAGCTCCACCCAAATTGCAAATTTAACCCCAAAGTGGATCTCTCTTGCAATATCCAAAATATCCGCCACCAAAGCTGTATACTTTTACTACTCCTCACCTATAAACGCGTGCGACTCATTTACGAAAATTCGCAATACCAAGTATAAAATCTCATGATTTACGATTCAAGTCTTAAAATTTAATTCGTTCATAGCGAAGTCAATCCAAAAGTGAAAATAAATCTTAAATATCAACAAAACGATCAAATTTCACGATTTACGATTTAAGAAAACTTTAATTTATTATATTATTATAATAAACTTATGATAATTACAGATTTGGTCCCTGTATTATATATCATTTTTAATATCGGTCCTTAAACCGGAAATGCCCCCAAGTGGGGTTCAAATTGTAATTTCCGAAAATCCACCTCCCTGGCTGAAATAGTTCTGAAATTTGCAGAAGCACCCCTATAATTCCTATATATACTTGCTCCATCTTCTTAGCCGCTCCACCCAAATTGCAAACTTGACCCCAAAGGGGATCTCTCTTTGACTATTCAAAATACCCGCCACATTTACGAAAATCCGTAATACCGAGCACAAAAATTTATGATTTTAAGTCTTACGATTCAATTCATTCATATTTGTGTCGAATGAAATGTTTAAATAAATCTTAAATATCAACTAATCGATAAAAAATTACGATTTTTGGTCCCTATATTATTATACTTTTTTTTTTTTGTTTTTTTATTTTGTTCCTTAAACCAGAAATGCACCCTAGTGGGGGTCAATTTGTAATTTCTGGAAATCCACCTTGCCGACTTAAAAAGTTTTGAAAATTGCAGAATCACCCGTATACTTGCTCCATCTTCTCACTAGCTCCACCCAAATTGCAAATTTAACCCCAAAGTGGATCTCTCTTGCAATATTCGAAATATCTGACACCAACGCAGTATGCTTTGACTCCTCCTCATCTATACTCGCGTGTGACTCATTTACGAAAATTCGCAATACCAAGTTTAAAATCTTATGATTTAAGATTCAATTCGTTCATACCTAAGTCGATTCAAAAGTTAAAATAAATCTTAAATATCAACAAAACAATCAAAAAAATACAATTTACGATTTAAGAAAACTTTAGTTTATTATATTATTTATATCATTGACGAAAATTCGCATTACCGAGTTTAGAATCTTATGGTTTACGATTCAAATCTTACGATTCAATCCGCTTATACCTAAGTCGATTCAAAAGTTAAAACAAATCTTAATTGTCAACAAGACGATCAAATTGTACTATTTACAATTGAAGACAACTTTAATTTACTATATTATTTATAATAAAATTGCGATAATTACATATTTGGTCCATATATTATATACGAATTTTAATTTTGGTCTTTCAACCGGAAGTGCCCCCAAGTGGAGGTCAATTTGTAATTTCCGAAAATCCACCTCCCTGGTTGAAATAGTTGTGAAGATTGCACAATCAACCCTATACTTACTCTATCTACCTAACTGCTCCACCCAAATTGCAAATTTGACCCCAAAAAGTGGATCTCTCTCTCACTATCCAAAATATCTGCCACATTTACGAAAATTCGCAATAACGAGCATACAATCTTATGATTTACGATTCAAATCTTACGATTTAATTCATTCTTATCTATGTCGATTCAAATGTTAAAATAAATCTTACATATAAACTAATCGATCAAATTTTACGATTTTTGGTCCATATATTAAATACATTTTTTTTAATTTGGTCCTTAAACAAGAAATGTACCCCAAGTGGGGGTCAATTTGTAATTTCTGGAAATCCACTTCCTTGATTGAAACAATTTTGAAAATTGTAGAATCACCGTTATATATACTTACTCCATCTTCCCAGTCGTTCCACCCAAATAGCAAATTTAACACCAAAGTGGATCTCTCTTGCAATATTCGAAATATCCGCCACCAACGCAGTATGCTTCGACTCCTCAACTATAATCGCGTGTCACTCATTTACGAAAATTCGCAAAATCAAGTTTAAAATCTTTTGATTTACGATTCAATTCTTACGAATCAATTATTCATGCCTAAGTCGATTCAAATGTTAAAATAAATCTTAAATATCGACAAAACGATCAAATTGTACGATTTACGATTTAAGAAAACAATAATGTATTATATTATTTATAATTAACGTGATATAATTACTATTTTGGTCCCTAACCCAAATTGGAAATTTGACCCCAAAGTGGATCTCTCTTTAAATATCCAAAATATCCGCCACATTTATTATCACAAGTTTATCATAAATAATATAATAAATTAAAGTTTTCCTATATCGTAATTCGAAAAATCTGCTCGATTTGTTGATATTTAAGACAACAAACCCACCTCCCTGTCCGACAAAGTTTTGAAAATTGCATAATCACCTCTATACTTACTCCATCTTCCTAGCCGCGCTACCCAAATTGCAAATTTAACTCCAAAGTGGATCTCTCTTGCAATATTTGAAACATCCGCCACCAACGCAGTATGTTTCGACTCCTCAGCTATAATCGTGTGTGACTCATTTACGAAAATTCGCAATACCGAGTTTAAAATCTTATGATTTACGATTCAAATCTTAGGATTCAATTCATTCATACCTAAGTCGATTCAAAAGTTAAAATAAATCTTAAATATCAACAAATTTTACGATTTACGATTTAGGAAAACTTTAATTTATTATATTATTTATAATAAACTTGTGATAATTACAGTTTTTGTCTCTATATTATATACCATTTTTAATTTAATAATACACCATTTTTTAATTTAGTGCTTAAACCGGAAATGCCCCCAAGTGGGGGTCAATCTGTAATTTCTGGAAATCCACCTCACCGACTAAAACAGTTTGAAAATTGCAGAATTAGACCTATACTTACTCCATCTTCCCAGCCCCACAACCCAAATTGCAAATTTGTCCCCAAATTGGATCTCTCTTGCAATATCCGAAAT